TTTATCAGAAAAGTCACTTTTCTGATAAGTTTATTAATTGTTTATTAATACTCCAGGTTTATTAATACTGTTTTCATTCTTAATGCCTCTTTGGAATTTCACTACTTTCATGACTACTATATATTCTCTTATTTCAAAGGTCATGGAAACATTCATTTGACACTTTACCTAAACTAAAACTTTTAAATACCTGTTATTATCTTCACTGTGGAAAGGTGCAAAAGTAATTTAGCCCTTTACTCTTAGTAAACCTCAACAGATTAATAATTTCTTAGCGCTTTCTTAGATGGAAAGGAATAATTGCTTGTTTCTTTTTTTTTCTAATTGAGAAAAGGGACTATTTAATTGTTTAATAACTGTAACAGTAGTTATGACCTGAGCAATGTAGTAAGACACTGTCTACCATGTGAAACAGAGGCTCTTTATTGGATGATGGTCTGGTCTTGTAGCACTTTTTAAAGTACTATCTCAAAATTCTATTACATTCTCATGATAATGCTTAAATGATGATACCACTGTCCCAAATCAGGAGACTAGGTGACCTATTTTTAACGAATCTATCTTCCTTTACAGTGTAAATTTGCATCCTTCATTACAAAGTACTTCCTTAGTAGTAAATATTATTTTCTTATATGGCCTGTGTAATTATGTGTACGTACCTACCTCTCATGTGGTCTTAGTTCCTAAGATTAGAAGATTTAAAATTGAAGCGAGGACTTTTAACCCATCCTTTTTGTTCTTACAGATGAGGAAACTGAAACAAAATTTAAAGTAATTTATCCAGCAGCCACTTTGACAGTGCCGCTTGGCAACAAATCCAGCTCCACCAAGGGTTAGGCTCCTTCCCCCAACTACCTACAGCAGTATTCTTTTTTCCTCAAGATAGGGGAGTAATACTACAGAATTGCTTCACTTTACTTTCCAAATTAAGAGGTAGAATTCTGAGGACCATGATAGCAAAATGGTATGTATGTATCTTTGTGAATTAATTTTTTCTAAAGTTATTTTTAAAAAATAATTTTAAAAATTATTTCTTTGAGGCATGGCACTGTTATCAATTCACAGTTTCTTAAGGATTAATCTCTCTTTAATTTTTTAGGATAAATTGTGAACATCCCTAAATCTTAAACATCGATTCCAAATAAATTTTAAAATTCAGAATAATTGGAAGAACAAAAATCACAAAACTATCAGGCCTATGTTTTATTTTCAGATTCATTCTGTTTCTCATATTCCAGGCTCAGTATTCATACAGCATTCTGAGTTCATATGTACCTGGTATTTTTCTTATTTTAATGCATTTTTCAGTGTTGGTCCTCCGCACCCCCCAAGATTCCCCAAAAGCTTGCATTTGTTTAGTGAATTAGCAGTCTTCAAACAACCTTAGCAACCCATGTACTGGTTCTAATTAAGCTAATCCTATGTCTGGATATAGCACTGCTGTCTAGATTGATACTGGATTAATAGAAAAACTGAAAATTCTGTACCTGATACTTGCTGTACAGTCTCTTCTCCCCATACCTGAAGATGTAAACAAAAAGAGCAAAAGCTTTCAAAGACCTGAATTAATGTATTTACTTTAAATGTGAGTTTTTTCCAATTGGGAGACTGCTTTTTTATTACCTTCAAGTTGAAAAATATAAAAGTAGTATCTGTTTTAGTTGTGTCTTAAGAGTTTGTTATCTGAAACAGTCGTTTCTCCTGAAATAATTCTTACCAGCACTTTTAGAAAGGCCTAAATTTTCCAGCAAAAGACTGTATTTCTGCTATTGCCCAAGTGGGTGGTATTTACTGAAGCTAAAGGTTTTTAAAACTAAGGCTGTCTCCTACCCTGAAAATTTATAGGCCATCTGAACTAAAGGATAAAATATTAGAAGTTTAAATGAGGACTTATATTCCTTGGAAATTTTGCACCTTAAAAAAGGGGGGGCGGATATAATCCAATTAAGGAGGGAAGTAAGATGAAAGCTTTCTGTTTTTAATGTGTCTTTGTACCTATTAATAATTAATGGCTTTGTTCCTTCATTAAAATATAGTGATAAATCCTTTTTTTTTTAAGAGAGGGAAATTTTTTAATTTTTTTTTTTTTTTTTAGTTTTTTTCCGGCGGACACAACATCTTTTTTTTTTTTTTTTTGGTACGTGGTGCTGGAGGATGGAACCCAGGCCGCACACATGCCAGGCGAGCGCGCTACCGCTTGAGCCACATCCCCAGCCACCCCCCCCCTTTTTTTTTGGAAACAAAAAGATGTAAAGATGCCCTATGCCTTAAATTAAAACAAAAACAAAGCTAAGTAGTCTCCATATATTAGATTTAAGAATATGATCTATCTATGCTTTAGACTGCTTTTAACCAAATGGTAGAGAGAAACTGCATATGGATAACAGTATAACTAAAAAAAAACATGGCTTGGAGTGAAGTCTTTTAAAATTGTTATGTATGTTTTACCAACTGTGATAAATTTGTATTTGTTTTCATTCTTGTTTAAAGTGATGATTTAGTGGAGAACAACTTATGGAGTCTATTTACTTTGTCCCATACTGTTGAATGGATTCATTTATTTGTTTTATTGTTATTGAGATTAAGTATTTTGCTTTCATATGCCATCCCCCACTACCACCACCACCAAAAATGTAGATAACTTTTAGGAGAGATGAACTGTTGTTGTTGTGTATTACATTTGACATTTTTTAAAAAGATTTTTGTATTTTAAAAGAGCACAGATTGTAAGTATACCTGGTATAACAGCTGAGAGAATTATGTCAAATGATGATAACCAAAGTTATTTGATAATTTTTAAAAAGTTTTCTGTACTATTTGGAAATGTAGGGTAAACAGTTTAGATTAAAAACTAGCTGGGATTTGGAAAAATTTTGTCAGCAAGTATCTTGAAATCATGACTGGAGTATAGATCTGATTCATAGTTTTAAAATGTTTTAACATTATATCTGATATGTTTCTTAAAATTAGCTGGGCATGGTAGTGCACACCTATGATCCTACCAACTTGGAAAACTGAGGCAGGAGGATTGAAACTTTTAGGCTACCCTCAGCAACTTTGCAAGACCCTGTCTCAAAATAAAAAAATAAAAAGGGATAGGGCTATAGCTCATTGGTAAAGTGACTCTGTGTTCAATCTCCAATATAAAAAAAGGTTTCTTAAAATTGTACAAGTGTAATCCTGAATCTATGTTCACAGAAGGGAAATTCAGACAATATTGAATTCTAAAGTATATAAAGAATACAAATTAAAAGTCATTGTCCTATAAAATTCTATAAATCCTCTTCCTCTTCAGAGCTACCACTTTAGTGCTTAATTTCTCATACCTTTTTGAAACATGCATGCATCTTTATAACCACTTGCTTTACTTGTGTGTGTATGTATTTTACATAAATGGTTATCGTTAATAGTATGTCATTATATTGTATATATATTTCATGCTTTTTTACTGCTGTAATGTTTTTAAAATGGTTCTTCTAATGATGGATGATTATTTTATTTTTTTGGTATTAAAAAAATCTTACAGTGAAAGCCCCTGAAATGTATCTTTGTGAACTAGTCAATAATGAGAGTTTCTCATTTACTCATAGTTGTTTTATAGTTTGGATGTTACTGTGTTGATTATTTGTGGAAGATATTTCTCTCAGAGCACTTTTCTTGGGGACTTCATGAATGTTTTAAATAATAATGTACTCAAGTCTGTTATGTTTGCCTTTGTCATCTGTGTTTTGTGGATTCTAATATTTCTAAACTATTTATATTCATTTCCATAGAAATATTTTCACTTCCATTTTTGTTACTTGTAAAACACTTTTGTAGAATTCTATGATGATACCAAGATGTATAAGCATGCAATATATTGTGATGATGTATAATAATAACATAAGGATCAGTAACAATTTTTAATATTAATTTCAGAGTAATAAAATAAATGCAATTTATTCTGGAAAAGCATTGGGGTTGTTTTTTTTTTTTGTTATTTGTGGAATAACTATAAGTATTCCCTCATAATAAATTCATTTTTGTTGGGTAATATGGTAGGCACTGAATGATAACAATTGTACACTAGAAACATCCCTTTTTTCCCCAAAGTTTTAGACAGGATTGCTTCCCCAGTTATCAGAAATTTCCATAACCTGACTATTTTTGCTACTAGTAATTGCTCTTCACTTAACTCTTGCTGCCATGCAATACCAGTTTACACAACATATATACCTTTAAGCTCTTAGCAAAACAAGGTAAATTAACAAATGTCAGTTCTGATTGACTTAGCCAGAACTTCATAATTAAACATTCAAAAAAGTAGTTTATTTCTCTGTGTGAGTATGTATGTTGATAGTGTAATGTTGCATACTATACATGAGTAAGGAATCAGAACACTAACTTTTTCAATATTTGGAGCCTCTACTTTGGCTTTGGTGGTCTTTTATTTCACTTTTCTGTATTGCTAAACACAACTTAGGCTCTTAAAATGTGGGCTGATTTTTGTTCTATCACCAATAATCTCCTATGAGAGTGCTTTATAATTTTTGTGCTGCTTCCTTTAGGAGAAAATACTTTTATAGGACGTACCATAAAGCCAGTGTCTCACAGACTCTCATTTTTAGCTTGCTTTTCTTCCCTATCCCCTCTCTACCTGATGGGTATTATTTGGGAAAATTACAATTGTTGGTGCCAAGAAGGGAAGATTCAAGGAATAAAGAAGTCCCTTATTTCGACATGAATTAATATCCCATTCTGAAGAATAATCAAGGGAATAGGTTGTTGTTTTTTGATGTTGTTGGGTTGTTTTGTTTTATTAAAGGGACTAGAACTTTTATAGCTAAGCAAATTGGGACAAGTTGGCTAATAATTCAATTACATTATATCTTAGCTAGTTTTCTAAATGCATTTGCTTTCCTAACAACCACATATACCTATTTATAACTTGAAATTTGCCTTTAAAGTCACAAAAGCACAAAGCACTGTAGTGCTTGTAACACTCTTCCATATTATTGTAGGTAACTAAATGACCATGGAATCTGGAGCAGAGAACCAGCAGAGTGGAGATGCAGCTGTAACAGAAGCTGAAAATCAACAAATGACAGTTCAAGCCCAGCCACAGATTGCCACATTAGCCCAGGTATAAAATATGGAGAGATTCCAACCTGTGTCTCTTTCAAGAGGAATATGTTTCCAAGAGAATTTCGGTTCTATTGCAGAGATGTTGTTTGAATATCCCATTTCCTGTTCACTTAATATTGGGCTATGTTTAGAAATAATAGTATTAATTCAGTAACATAACAGTAAAATGTATCATTAAACACTAATACAGTATTTGTAGTTACATGATCCAGAAATATTGACATTTTTAACTGATGTGTACATTAATTGTCTCTTTCAAACAAGGGCGAGAACCTTGGTTATGACAGATTTTTTTTTTTTTTCCTATCATAGAACTTATCAACATGGAGGTAGAGATAGTATGAAAGCCACTGCTTATATATGCTTAAACTAGAAAATAGGATAAGGCAAATAAATTGATATTTTAAAGATAATACTGAGTTCTTTGATTTTTGTCTTTGTCTTAAACATCCTGTCTTTAAGGGTATATTCTCTTGTACTAGTTTTTTGTTCTCATTTTTTTCCCTAAAATATTTTGTTAACAACTTTGTACCTGGACACACGTGAGAAAGGTGGTTAATATAAAAAGCAAATAGGAAATGGAAATCTGCTAGGCAAGAAATTGGTATTGCCTATTTAAGATGAAAGCTCCTAGGAAAAATAACCCTGGTAGAAGCTCTGGTATATCTAGCTGTAGTTTCCCAAGAGTTTAAAAGCTCTGAGGGAAGTTACTGAACAAGAATGAGTCTTAAAAAATTGAGGACTCAATCACAATTGGGGTCGTGTGTCGTGGCTGGGGAAACTGGCTAAGCTAAAATGTGGGCCAGATCCTGGAGCTCCAGCAGGAATATAGTCAGGAGTTTTTCCTAAGATACCCAGGGCCCACTTCCAGATAAAGTGAATACACTTGGAGATGGTGAATTTACCCAGACAAGGCAGGGCATAAACATTATAGGGTCAAGTTAAACAAGCACAGATGAGAATCTGAGCTCATCCAAGCATTCTGCCCTGCAGGCATCTTAGTGATTCAATTCTCAATGTATCTATTTCTGGTCACACTATTCTATCTGGTCTGGATGTCCTCTGAGTCCTCTATATAGTGTCATCATGGGAATTCTTTTCACTCTACTGATTTTTTTCTTGTAGGTTTTGTGTTCTTGATACAGAAAAGTGTGTATAGTGGTATCTTGAGAAAGGATTCTTGGTAAAGACGAAATTTTTTTTTTTTTTTTAATTTTGAAAGCATTGATTCACAGTCAATTTATTTTAATGTTGTTCTTTAAAAAGACTAAACTTATCTTTCATCTCTGGTACCTTATAAAATCTCTTTGGTCATGGTACTTCAAAATTTCATTATCATGGGGATTGATAAGTTGGATCAGTTTTTATCCTGTATGTTCAATGAGACCTTTTGTAATGAAAACTCATGTCTTCTATTATGGGACATTTCTTTAAATTATTTGTTGATGATTTTCCCCCCTTCCTCTTCCTCAGTTCTTGCTAGGATTCTTATGATCCAAAGGTTATAGCTCTAGGAATGTTTTTCTCATTTTCTTTTATTTTCTCTCCTGTTTTCCCTCATTTTGTTCTGCTCTCTGGGATATTTCCTCAATATATTCCAACCCATCTGTTGAATTTGTATTTCTGCTATCATGTTTGCAAGAGTTTTGTTGAATAGTCCTTTAATGTTTTAATAGCATCCTGTGTTTCACAAAGATAATATTTCTTCTTTATCTTGAGAATTACTTTTTGTTGTTGTTTCAAGTTTTTTTTTCCTACATAGACTTTCCATTATACAGTTCACCTCCCATTGTTTTGGTCTCCATCTTTCATATTAGAGGCTTTCTCCAAATGTTTGATAACGTGGTTATCTGCTCAGGTTTAAAATTGTGGTTTAGGGATGTAGCTTAGAGACAGAGCACACACCTAGCATGTATAAGGCTCTGGATGCAGTCCCCAGCACCAAATAAGTAAATGAAAGTAGGGGACTAAGATGCTTTTTAGAAGCTTTGTAGATGTGTTAGGGTCCTAATAGCTATGAGCATTGAACTTTGCTATAGGGTAATTGTGGTTGCCCTAATGTCAGTATCTTTAGATCTTCTTGGTATTAAGTTCCCCAGAGGATTCACTAGTCCTCTTACAGGGAAAAGGCCTGGAGCCAAGTGAGAAAAGAAGACTAAGGTTTAGTAGCCACCTACAGCAATGCTTGATGTTAATCAATCAAACCCTTTATCCAAAGAATAAATCTCCATTTTTCTTTTAGAATATGGTGGATTATTCTTCCATAGGGAGTTGGGATTGGTCCCCAGTTGCTTCTCAAAGAACCTTCAACCAGCATTTCTTGTTTTCAGCCTCTTTTCACTCTTATCTCCCAGGATGCTATATATCCTGAGATTTGTGATTTTGTGCTGCCAGTCAGGCTTGCCCCATATTAGCTCATGAGACAGTCTCAGATCCTAATTCATTACTGTTCTCTCCAGTCTCCAAAATAACAGGTTATTACTATTACTTATTTCCTTTCCTTTTGTCCTAAACTTTGTCTGTTTCTGCCTATAAAAATTAAGCCGTTGAAGCCATTAAAGAAGATTATTAATAGTATTTATTAATAATATTTAAAGATGGAATAGTTTCATAATAGTGTGTCATAATAATCAAATGTTCCTATATGCTTTAAAACACATCTAGAAAATTCACAGCAAAATACTAATAATGATTAGCTCTGTGTGATAGCATTATAAAGGCTTTCAATTTTAGACATGTATGTGTATTTTATAAACTTAAAATGAGAGGAGCTATTGTGAAGAGTGATCAGGGTAGGAAAGGGATTATCTATTAAAGTCAGATTGTTATTTACCCTAGAAGACTCAGTAAAGAGAATATAATTGCTTCAAATATTAGAAGAGCTTTTTATGGAATTAAGGTGAGCTATTCTGAATAATCTTAAGGTTGTGCCTCTCAGACTTTAGGGTTGAAGTATCTTTGAATCCCTTCAGATTCTGACTTTACAAATGACACCCCATATGATTAATGCAGGTAGTCCAGGGAACACATTTTGAGAACCAAATAAAACTAAGCCTTAAAGTGGCCAGAGAGAAAGTGATTAATATGGAAGGATTTCCTAATATTTTAAGATGGAACCTCCTGGTTTTAACCTGTATGCCAAAGACTTTTCTTTGGTAGGGATCTTTCCCCAAAACTTTGGAGTGAAATGTTTACCTGCATGCTAAACATCTTTGCATATTCAGATGTCAGTAATTCCATTATCTTCTACCATGACTTCTACTATCAGAAACCTTGTCCTTACTTCTTGCATTCTCTTTCTGTTTATCCATATTCTCATACATGAATCATGTGGGTCATCTTTGATTTTTCCCTCATCTATTCATAAAGTCTTTGTTTTTCCTCCAGATCTTCACGAAATCTCTTTTCTCACTCCCATCCTTACCACTACTACTGCACTGTGTTCTGCTCTCATCTCTCACCTTAACTACTGCACTGACTTTCTCATTTTGTCTCTACACCTCCACCACCCCCCATGTATAAATCAGTCATGCTGCCACTGAAAGTATCTAATACGAACTTCAAACCTCACCATCATACTAAAGAAGTTAAAAATCTTTTCATTGCCTTCCCCAATACTCAGGATAAAATACAGGGGTTTTTTGGGTTTTTTTTTTTAACATTTATTTTTTAGTTGAAGGTGGGCACAATAGCTTTATTTTATTTTCATATGGTGCTGAGGATCGAACCCAGTGACTCAAGCATGCTAGGTGAGCGCTCTTCCTCTGAGCCACAACCCCAGCCCAAAATACAAGTTCTTTATGTGACATATACTAAGGCTTTTATGACTAGTTTATTTATTCCCTGCCTACCACTGTTCCTGGATGTCTCCTGATTTCGTACATGATACAGTAACACACTTATTTGCTGTAGTAGTACTGAATTGTTTATCCCTCTCTACCATGTATAAACTACATTGTTTCTCTTTGCTTTTGTCAGTACTATCCTCTCTGCTTGAAATTTTGTGCCTTCTCCCCTGTAAATCATCAAATACATGTTTAACTTGTATTCATTGTTTTAAATTCACATTCTTTGGTAGCCTCCCCTCTTAGGTTGGACTGAATAGCTCTCCTCAGTATGTTCATTTTTCTTTTAACAAGCCTCATTACTCCATTGAGTTGCATTTACTAGTGTGTCTTCTCTACCCCATTCCTTCATAAACACATGTCAGTAATTTTTTTATTGTCAGGGACCCATATCTTTGTTTCATTTTTGTAGTTTCAATTTATACATTATTCCTGACAGTAGGTCCCAGTAACTATTTACCAAATGAGCAAATAAAATTCCTACCCTGAATGTGTTAAGAGTATAAGAACAATAAGTACCATCTGATACACATGACTTACAGTCCCTTTTAACTTGACTATTGACTCATTAAAATTGCATACTTTTGCTATAAGGGAAATGTGGGGTTTTTTAATATATTCTTTTAGCTCTATCCCTTTATTCATTCAAAATGAAAACAAACTTCTAAAACATCATATATTGTCACTTTATAATCATTTTTAAGAAGAGGATTAGAAATTTTCAGTTATAGTGTCTATTAATACTTTCTCATTAATGAAAAGGTATGCTCGGGAATAGTTAAAAAAGAAAACTGAATTGCATATTGTAAGGTGTATATTCTTAGGTCAGTTTTGTTGAAGTTGGAGAACAGTTAAGGTTTTAGAATGTGTCATATTTAACATGATACTCTGAAGAATTTTATGTTCCTTCAAGGCCACTATATCTGTTGACCTTGGGGAAATCCATCTCTTTGAAGATTTGTTATTAAACAGCAGTAATGATCCCCAGTCTTCAGTTTCTTGGAAAAATGAAATGATAGTTGGATATGCAAGTAGGTGGGAAAATGTAACATAACATACAAATAAAGTGGTACTTAGTGTTTAGAAGAAATCTGTTAGAATTTTTATATTACATTAAAATAACTTGTGTTTTTTCGTCACTTAAGAGGAGTTGTAAGTGGAGGGGAGAGGGATATGTAGGGGTGTTGTGTTTTAAAAATATTAAATCTAATCACTGGTTTCTTTTACATCAATGAGTACTTGTGTTTCAAAAAGGTCATGTTTTTGGTTCTAAAAAGTTACTTCATATTGAACCTGAGTAATCCCAAGAAAGTATCTGTAATGGTAATTTTTTTCCATGTTCAACACTGTAGGTTTCTATGCCAGCAGCTCATGCAACATCATCTGCTCCCACCGTAACTTTAGTACAGCTGCCCAATGGGCAAACAGTTCAAGTACATGGAGTTATTCAGGCGGCCCAGCCATCAGTTATTCAGTCTCCACAAGTCCAGACAGTTCAGGTATGTGTATAAAAAGTTCTGCATATACTTTTATATATGTTGTTAATAGCCATTTCTGTCTCCTTTCATAAATTATGAAAATAAGGACACGTCTAGTTTAGAGTTTATTTTAGTTCACAGTAAAGGAATGTGCTGCATCTGAATAGTTACCTTATGTATAGGAACATATATACACAAGAAGAGACATTAAAAATGGCTCTTTCTTAAGCTTTAGAAAAAAAAAAAAGAATTGATTGGGAAATAGTTAAATACATGAGATAAAGTGGAAATGTTTGGGAGAGACTGACACATCTAAGTTAAGGAAAATTAAGATATAAAAATTGTAATTTTGTAATTATTTTATAAACCCTCATTTGGGTGAAAAAAGAATCTTGATAAAATATAAAATAATAATCTTACTTAATATTATTTGAACCAAGGGATCACATAAAACATTTTAATATTGGCTATATATAGGACTTTCATTTATAGTATATAACTTTGAAATAATAATATATTTAGAAAGTACATTTTCAGGGCTGTTGATTATACTAGGTGTTATCTATCCTATTCTTTGGAGAGTTTGTTCCTTTGGTTTGATCTCCAAAGGGAATAAAGGCACTTTAGACCTCTGAAGTGACTACTCTGTTTAACTGTAGGGAACCAAGAGCAGTATAGGATATTTGCAACTGAGCTTATTGAAATTAAAAAAAAAAAAAAGACTTGAACATTCATTCAAGTAGGCCATAACCCCAGCCTCCCATTTCATATTTTTTGCTTCACAGTCTTCCTGTAAGGACTTAAAAAGACTTTTCTCCGGAACGCAGGTGAGTCCTAGGTCCTAGATTTGAAGAGAACTATTATTAGAAAGGAAGGTGAGAAATTACTGTTTATGTCTTTGTCCTTCTCTATAAACATGGAATTTCATGGTTTCAGTAATAGTCTTAGAGGTCTTCAGATCTAAGCCAAACTTGTTGACTACAGCTACCCCTTACTTTATTACTTGTATCCCCTATATAACATTTCCCTTCCAAATTGTAGTCCAGAATTACTTGAATACTTTCATAGAAAGGAAGCTGTATCTCTTGGCATAATCTATTTAGAATTAGGGGTGATTGCTAAAATGTTCTTTCCTGTGGTTAGCCAGAATATCTTTCTAAAATTTTCACCTGGTGGTCTCATTTCCATCCTCGGAAACTAGATTAACAAGTAATTCCTTTTCTGTTGATCTGCTTTCTCTTCCCCATTTCCCTCACCCTTCCTATTTATAAGAAAAAATTCAGACTGGACAAAGTTTTGTTTTTCTTCAGGCTTTTTATTATATGGTATACCTTTGGTATTCCTCTTTACCATCCTGGTTGTTTTCTACTGAGTGAGAATGTGGTTTCCTTGAGTATGATAGCCAGAACTGCTTAATATCTATAGAGTGGGGAGGTGCCCCCTCTCTCCTGGAAGCATTCTATTAATGTCATCAAAGGATTTTGTCAGCCATATTATACTGATCATTGAGCTACTATTAGTTCCTCTACTTCATTCTGTCCTTGTGCTTTCAGTTTCCTTCAACTCTTTACTTAAGCAGTGGGGATAATGTTTCCGTGTGAAATCAAGTTGGATGAATTTCCATAAGATACTGGGAATAGACTTTGTTAGTAAGTAGGAGATAGTATTTCCAAATAATTATAAAAGAATTTGATGTTTCTGTGGAATCACAATGACTGATTCCTTCGCCTTAGTTTTTAATTCATTGAATGCTACCTTACCATTCTCTATACTCTTCTGTTACTAATTCCCCACCCTGTCTTCTTCTTGATGACAATGAAAAGAACTTGGCCTGCTAATCAGTCAGAACACCTAAATTCTAGATCCAGTGTGCATATTTATAAGTCAAATGACTTTGTTCATGTTAGCTTTTACTTTTTACTTTTTCAATTAAAGAAGAAAGTCTTGCTGTGAAAAAGATTGCAATTTTTGGTTATAATATATGATTTAATTGATTATATTCTTAATTCTAATGTTGGCAACATAATTCTGAGGATTATGTAAACATGAATAGAAATATGTATTCATATTTTCAAGAACATATTTTACATTAAGGTGAATTTACAAAAGAAATGTTGGACTTCTTGAAACCTAGATTCTATAGATAGAGATACAATTATACACTTTTTTTCTTTAAAGGGCCTCAATGGTCACTTCAGCTGGCTAACAGAAATAAATATTAATAAGTAGGCTCTAATGTCTGTCTTTCCTAGGTCATAATAAAGCTACATTTATTCTGCAAAAAAATTAAAATAACTAGGAAATAATTTACATCAGAAAAGTGATCAAACAAGAATAGAAATTGCCCCTCAAACTTCTATATGAGAGAATATTGGAACATAGCAAAGTTTCAATATTATGCATGATATATACTTCTTTTGATGGGAAGAATAAGATATTAAGACTTCTGTTTATATATTTTTGTTTAAAAATATTAGAAACTAAGCTATAATGATATTTCATGCACAGCTTGACTTTTGGTACTCTAACTTTATTCCTATGTATACGCATAAATTCCCTCACAGATTGTGTGAGAATGCTCACAGAAATACTGGGAGTTGCATTGTGTATGGGGGTTGACAGTTACATTCATTACTTTTGGCCACATTTTACTATAGTGCAGTTTAAATGTGACAGAGGATTCACAGATTATATTACTTACATCCATTTCGTCAACAAATGTTTATTGATCACATCCTGTGTGCCAGTCATTGTTCTAGGTGCTATCAGACAACAGTGAACAAACAGTACATCTCTATTCTCATGAAGATCACATTTGAGTGAAGAGAGACAGACTATGAAAAAATAAAATATGTCAGTTGAGGATAAGTGCTGGAAAGATTAATAAAATGATAAAGGAATAGAGAAAGACATAAAGGGGAAGGATGTTTAATTTTATGGAAGACGGCAGTAAAGGTGGCTAAGCCAAGAAGATAACCAAAGCATATCCAAAGATTTGGAAATAAGAGTATGATTAGGATATCAAGGAATAGCAAGGTGTTGCTGGAATAGAGTAAGCAAGGAAGAGAGTAGTGATGAGAATTTTGATAGTCTTTTTAATACTTTGTAATGTGGGGACAAAAGTAAAAGTTTGTGCAACATAGTCTGTTATTATATAGCAAAGTATTTAAGAGTTGTTTAACTTCAGAATGGATTGCTTTGGGGTTTTTTGTTGTTTTTGTTGTGTTCTTTTGTTTTTTGTTTTTTGTTTTTTTTTTAAAAAACTCTCTCTCTCTCTTTATTTATTTATTTTAGTTTTTTTCGGCAGACACAACATCTTTGTTTGTATGTGGTGCTGAGGATCGAACCTGGGCCGCACGCATGCCAGGCGGACGTGCTACCGCTTGAGCCACATCCCCAGCCCCTGTTCTTTTGTTTTTAACCTAAGATAATTTTTCCCAATTTTCTGATCTTTTCAATGTTGGCAGGCAAGAACTTACAAGGGATATCTTACCTAAGATGTTTTTGAAAAAAGAAATCCATTTTAATTACCTTTCATGGGGGAAGTGCTATTTTAATCATGAATGTGATAATTTTTGAAAGAAACTTTTGCTGTGGAGATAGCATTTTGAAAATAGAAATTTGAAAATTTTTTTTCTCTTGCAAACCATGAAAGTTTGCCTTAAGTCTATGTACTTTAAGACTTAAGTAGCTGGGCGCAGTGGTACATGCCTATAATCCCAGCAGCTGGGGGAAGAGGGCTGAGTCAGGAGGCTTAGAAGTTGAAAGTGCTAGTAATGCTGATTAGTGGTTAAGCGCTTCTGGGTTCAATCCCATTTTTTTTTTTTTTTTAATATCCCCAAAGAATAGAAAAAGGAAAAAAAAATAGAATTTCCTCAACTGTTCAGAAGACTTCTAGTTTTAGCAGGTGTTGAACTTAATTTATTAAAAATATGAAATTATAACACCACCTTCCTGTTGACTTGAAGCATGCAATAATTGACTTAAAGCCAGGGAGTGAAAATACACTATATAGATTTCATTAATGACTAGCAAAATTTGTAGAGAAAAATGGAAAAGCATTGTTTTATTTTGTAAGTACAGTCTCAAAGTGTACTTTTGAGACTTAACTTTTGTTATCTACATATTCAGTTGAGTTCCCCTTTTCAAAGCTAGCAAACTTTAAATCAACATTTAAATAACCTAAGCCCAGAATCATATTCTGAATCACTTTTATAATCTTTTAAAAAGATTATATATTATAAATATATTTATATAAATACTTTTATATGCTTATATAAATATGTAGATACTTTTAAAATTTATATATTTATATAAACATAAACAAATCAAAGTTGAGAAATATAGAGCTAAAGCTTTATATCTATAAGTAGTGACTTGGTGTTTTGAAAATTTCTTGACTTTCAAAAGTAGCCAAAATGAAAGACGTATCAAAGGAACTCAGGAAGAGATTAATAAGAGAGATGGCAAGAGGTGAGGGACAGAGGAAGTTATACTATCTTTAGAATGAGATTACCTGTGATACTTCTAGTTGGAATATATGGTTGTTTTAAATCTGTTAAGTTTATATTGAACTATAATTAATAACTATAAAATGGATTTTTAATATGATTTTTATTCTCAAGTATGGGTTCAATATAATTTTTGTTTCTAAGGATTTAATTTTTTTAGAGCAGTTTTAGGTTCACAGTAACATTATGGAAAATAGAATACCCTCCCCACTGTATAGCCTCCCTCATGTTAACTTTCCCCACCAGATTGGTACATTTGTTAAAACTGAACCTACATTTACAACATTGTCCAAAGCCCATAGTTGACATTAGGCTGCACTCTTAACATTGGTACATAACATGGTAGTTTGATTTCATTTAGGGTAGGAAATGTTACATTCATTATGTGATATTGAATAGTCACTATTCTGTTTATATTAAAGAGTTAGTCACTAAATAGTGGTAAGTTAATTCTGTCTATCTGAATTGACTTTTTTTTTTTTTTTAATCTTTTATCTTTGCAGTTCAGTAATCTAAATACTCCCTATAAGGAAAGGAAAGCACCATTTTCATTTATTTGGGAATTTTGGTTTTTGCAGTATTGGATCTTGAACCCAGTATCCAATACTGGGTTTATCACTGAGCTACATTCCCAGCCCTTTTTTGTTTTTTATTTTAAGACGTCTTGCAAAATTAATGAGGCTGGCCTGAAACATCTGATCCTACTGCCTTAGGTTCCTTAGTTGCTGGGATTCCAGGTGTCTGCCATTCAGTGCAACATCGTTTTTTAGTGACAGAAACAAATGAAACTGCAAAAACAGAAGTTAGAATATTGTTTCTATACATTGTTGGGGCATTAACTAAACTGTGAATGAAGTAGGGGATAAACAGATACTTCACAGCTTGAAGTTATCATGGAGAATTTGTGGCTATGAAAGAACATTTTGAATTCTGTTTCTACATATATTAAAATTCTTGGATCTAGAATCTGTTTGTCTAAAGATAACGTAAATTTAGCAAAGATTTACAAAATGAATTATTAAAACGGACTACTACTGAAGGACTAAAGATAAATTATTTTAGATAATAGTTAATAAATATCCTGAAAATTTTGCTAAAATTGCTTTAATATGTTTTTATTTCTGTCTTTACCACGTAATTTAGATCAGAGAAGAGCAAAATTTCTACTAAGGGCCACAAATTCACTTCGAGGGGGAGGGAATCAAAGGCCACATATAAAAAAGCAACATCATTTCAAAATTATTATGTGGGTGGTTTATATAGCTTGCTTTAATAAGTTTCAGCTTGGAAGAAAGTCCTCCTATGTTACTGTATGTCCTTAAGAGATGGTTTTATCTCTAGCAGTTAGAAAAATGCAAATCAAAACTACACTGAGACTTTATCTCAGTCTAGTCAAAATGGCAATTATCAAAAACACAAGTAACAATAAATTTTGGCAAGGATGTGGGGGAAAAGGTACACTCATACATGCTGGTAGAACTGCAAATTGGTGTAGCCACTACAGAAAGCAGTATGGAGATTCCTCAGAAAACTTGGAATGGAACCACCATTTGACCCAGTCATTCCACTCCTCAGTTTATACCCAAAGGACATAGCCACATCATAGCAGCTCATTTCACAATAGCCAAACTATGGAACCAACACGGTGTCTTTCAACAAATAAATGATAAAGAAAATGTGGTATATATATCCAATGGACTATTTCTCAGCCATAAAGAAGAATGAAATTATGACATTTACTGGTACATGGATGAGCTGGAGACTTTCATTCTAAGCGAAATAAGTCAATCCCCCAAAAGGCTGAATGTTTTCTCTGATATGCAGATGGTAATTCATAATAAGGGATTGGGGTGGTGGTAGATTAGACAGAGGTGAATGAAGGGATGGGAAAGGGATATTGGGGGTAGAAATGATAGTAGAATGAATTGGATATTATTACCCTATGTGTATATATGATTACATGACCAGTGTAATTCTACATCATATACAACAAGAAGAATGAGAAGTTATACTCCATTTATGTATGATGTGTCAAAATGCATTCTCCTGTCATGTGTAACTAATTTGAACAAATAAAAATAATTTTTTTAAAAAGGTTATTATATAACAATGGGCATATGTAAGTGAAGCAGAGGGCAAAGAAAGAAAGCCACAGAGGAACTAAGTAGATTCTGAGTGCAGTATTAATAAAGGTAACAACTGTTTATCAGTACCGTCCACTTTGAGTTTAGTCTCGTTCCTTGAATTTCTGACGCTCTGCTAAGACCTGTTCACAGATCCGTTATCTATGAGAAAGTTTATGCAGATGCTGTGTTGAGTGGGCTAGTTACAGCAGCTACAACTAATAATTGGGAAATTTTCCTTCATGTTCCTTTGGCAGTACTTTGTAGCATTATTACTCTGTTGAGAATTATAGACTGAATTCAGCCTTGCCCATCATTTCTGGATCCATTAATTGTTGCCTACTGATTCTTAGGTCTTTCAAACTAGGCATCATATACTTTAAAGTTTGATGGACATATTACTTTACTATAGGTGTATTTTACGAAGCATTACTAGATTTAACTGATTTCTTTGTAAGGTGAATGTCTGTTCTCTAGAACCCTTAGGCTCTGACTGCATACAGAATATCTTTGGAATTTGTCAAGTATCTTTGAAGTACTTACGATTTTTCATATTGCCATGGTCATATATTTTTATGTGGACCTAACCCACACAGATCCCTTTGTCTTGGCTAAATCTAATTCTAATTCTGATAGCATCATGTGCACCTCTTTCGGAAAAGAGTATGTGACCCCTACAGTTTAGACTATAGAAATCTGTAAATATGGATTTGACAGACAAGCACATTTAGGTGAGAGAACTTCTAGTTTAGAAACAGTCTAAAAATGCTACTGGGTTGTTGCTTCTGACAGTACTGGTTTCAGACTGAAATAGTCTGGAATGAGACTGGAAGGAACCAGCAAGATTTTGATGCTGGTAAGGATGTCTAAAGCAGAGATGCTAAGTATTAACAGGAGTTTTACTTCTTCATAGCTTTGTTACTTGGGTGAGTTACCTAACCTCTTTGTGCTTTAGTTCTTTTATCTATAATATGGATATAGTACTAGTAACTATCTGGTGCCTGATGTTACTGTACTAAGTAATGTACTAGATATAAATATATGCCAGTGCTTTAGTATAGCATCTGACACATAGTAAATTTTCAGTAAATTATTTTTTCTATTATCCCATGTAAAATCTTTATTCACATATCTTCATTTATTTTCAGTCTAGGGATGCTTACCAGAAATGCATGATTCTTTACCTTGGATTTTAGCTTAAAAAATAATTGTAGAATGCCAACTTTTAAACTTGTCTATATGAAACAGGATTTTTCCCTTACTTGCTAGAAACAACTGGGGAATGTGGTGAGGGATCATTAATTTTATTTGTACAATTTTAAGTAGTGCATAAGTGTTTGCATCAGAATTAAAGGGGAAATATTTGTATAGTCTCTATATAGACTTCTGACCAAATATTTAGTCATTCCTTTCCTAATGTCAGAAACCTTGTTTAAGTTGGCAGTTTTGTCCTAACAGCTGACAAGAAAAATCTGACATAAATAATACTGATGAGTTCAGGATTGATTACATGGAGTCTTGAAAGAAATTAAGGACAGATGTTTTCAGGACAAATATTTTGGTTTCTCTAAATTCAATTTAAATATTCTATAAGTTAAGTAAAGGGGAAGGGAGGGGAGAGTGGTTGGTGCGGTTGTCTCCCATTAAAAACCTAACCATGTATAAGACTTAAATATATGTATTCTTTTGTATTCAACCATAAAGTTAATGAAATTTTTTGGAAACTAAATTTGATTATCAAGATCAAGTTCTTCTTTATTTTCAGATTTCAACTATTGCAGAAAGCGAAGATTCACAAGAGTCAGTGGATAGTGTAACTGATTCTCAAAAACGAAGGGAGATTCTTTCAAGGAGACCTTCCTACAGGTATGAAATTTAATAATTAGAACTTGGAATCAAAGATGTACAGGAAGCCTTAGATAGTTGCAGGTAAAAAAGATATGTCAGAAGATTGGTTTACTGATCAAGCCAGTATTATAGGTGATTTATCTTTATCTCAAGTTACTTCCCAAATAAGTTTATCATATAGAATAAGCTTGTCTTATAAAATAAATTATTCTTAACTCTGAGCATTTCTGGATAAACACTACTTTTTTCTGGTTCTGATTTTGTAGACTGCTGGGTGCTGCTTTTTTATTTAAAAAAATACATTTGATAGTTACTGGATTTTCTAGTTATGTGTCAGTTCTGAGGCTGTTATTCATCTACGTGGCTACATGTTTACAAGCCATTTTTATGCCATGGTACTTAGCAGATAACTATTTATTAGTTGTTTTAGGGTGATGCTTTGCTGACATTCTCTAATTTTAGAGGCACCATACTATACTTTTTGTTTTCAGCTATAGATGTTGCTTAGTCCATGCTTTGTCTCCAAGGTAGACAAAAACCATTCGTCATATGTAGAAACATCTGCAGGAAGGACAATTCCAAAAATATTGATTAATTTACCTTAGAGTTTAATGAATTATAATTTAGAGTTTAATGACTTATAATTATCTTCCTTTTTATTAGTCTAACATTTCTATTTATGTATATGCCAATTTTTTTGATGAGGTGGTTGTCACTCCCTGCTCCCACTTGTTTAGCTACTAAGCCAACCCCTTTCTCTATCCCCACATTTAGATTAAGGATCCTAAGTAAATATAAATAAATTGTTTTGAGGGCTTAACTTTTATGATACTAGATATATGTTGTATGCTTTTATGCTAATAGTTTCTATTGTTTTAATATAACTAGTGTTAGATTTTAACTTCAAAGTATAACTCATGATAGTATATATAACACCTTCAATCCTGAAGCAGATCCAGCCAGGTATGCATAGAGCTTCTCTATAAATTTTAGGCAAATATTAGCTATAGGCCTTTTAACATGAGGTTTTTTATTTAAAAATATCATAATTTTTCTTAATTGGCTTGCAGCCTACATTGTAGTAAAGGTCATTTAAATAGTAACACCTTAATGATCAATCAAAAGATGCTTTTAATTGATTAAAATTACATGTTGTATGGAATCTCAACTAAGTTTATTTATTGTATTTCCTTAAGTCTAGATTTTTCTAGTAGATCATTATGTAAACCTAGAGACATAACAGTTATTTGACTTCTCTCTGGGAAATCTACTTGGGAAATCCAGAGAAAGAGTTATTAAAGATAATGACATCTTCACTTACAATCAAACTCCCCACTAGGGCACCTTTAGTTTAAGTTTATGAATTCCTGAAATCTAGCCTCTGTGTCTTGATTATAGTACGGTATCTACTAAAGTTCTTAATATATATGTGTAAGGCTGGAGAAATAGGAATTAATTGATAATAGAAGATGCATTTTTTATTGGAACAACTTTCTATCTTTATAGTGATAAATTTATATCCAGAGGAAGTACTTGAAAAGCACTCTTCTTGGTCTCATTTGGCTTGATATTTTTAGCAGCAATCTAGCAGAAAAACATAGAAGTTGTGCTTATCAAATTTTCAAGTGACAGAACCTTAACAGATAAGTACCCTCATGGATAGGAAAATAAATAAGCTGAAACAAACAGGATAAAATGGTAGTGATAACTGTAAAATGTCTGAAGTTGAGTATAAAATAAAAACAATTTTTAAATTTCTGTTTTAACCACCTTTCTGCCAATTTTCTAATCTTTAACTACTAGTTGTATTTAGACAGTAAATTTTACTTTTAATTAAGGTAGTTCTCTATTTTTCTAGGAAAATTCTGAATGATTTATCTTCTGATGCACCAGGAGTGCCAAGGATTGAAGAAGAGAAGTCTGAAGAGGAGACTTCAGCCCCTGCCATCACCACTGTAACAGTGCCAACTCCGATTTATCAAACTAGCAGTGGACAGTATAGTGAGTAATAGATATTTCTGTTTTGTAAAGAGAAAAGAAAAATTAACGTTTTATTCTCTTTAAGGGAATTATATAATTTCCAATTTTTTTCTCATTCTTACTGCCACTTTATATTTCCTCTATTGCTTAATATGCAGAGGTCTATATGTAATAGGAGTATTTTCTTCAGAGTTCTATTTAGGATTACTCAATTATGTGAGGTGTTTACATGTTCCTTTGTTTTATGCAGATGCATAATCTAAAGTTTTTTGAAGAACTAAATGAACCTCTAAAGATTTTAGTCCTCAGGCTAGGAATGTAGCTCAGTGATAAATGTGCTTACCTAGAATGTATGGTTCCTGGATTCAATTCCCAGTACCAGCAGCAAAAAAAGATTTTAGTTTTCACATAATATCAAGAATAGCATGAGTTTTTTCAGATAAAGGAAAAAAAATTATACCTTGACTATGTTTAAGGCCAAAGATGCTCTTACTATTAATCTATTTTAATACTTTATCTTACCTTCCAAAAGTTGCATTTAAAAATATTCATATTTAATAATGTTTCAAAGGGGGGTGGGGTTGACTTTGTTGTAGTCTGCTAGCACATTCAATTATTATTTCTTTTCATGTAAAAGGTAGTATAGCAAAGTAAGATTATGTAAACACAAGGAAAATTAACTGGATACTTGGTTTTTTGGCTCACAAAAAGCAAAGGTTTCTATTACAAAATTATTCAAATTTTCATTTCATGTTGTCTCTATCTGGCACTTAGAGGTCTCTTCTTATCTCTTACTTTTTCTTATCTTTCACCTCAATCTATTGTAAAGTACTTTCGAATTTTGCATTTTCAAATGAAAATGTATGAATGGTACTCTTTTATTTACTCAATACCTTTGCCTTTTAGTGTGCCTAATGCTTGACACCTAGGTTACTTTTTGTTTTTTAACCCAATGTCAGTTTGCCTAACAGTAATTTGCATTCTGTCTTAAAAACAGATTTCTCAAGTAGCAAACTTTTTAGCTCTCTCAGAGCTAAAATTTTTGATAGTCAGACAAAGCTACTGGTTTACTATTAAGTAAGCTTACTACAGTAAGCTTAGCTATTCTTTTTTTCCTTAAGTTTCTTGTTGACAGATGCAAAGAGGTACATATCTATACCTGTGTGTGTGTGTGTATTTTTTTTTTGCTTTGTGTCCAGGTAAACATCTTTATTCAAGATGTGATTTTACAACACACATGACTTTTATTTTTGCCTACTTTAGCATCCTGGGGTATAACATTCCCTTTGGTAACAGATTCACTACTGGAGAACTTTCTAGTTCTCACTTGAACTAGAAAGTATGCTTTTTAGGAAACAGACATACCAGAAATCTGAAAGACGGAAGTGAAATTTAGAGAACTCCCATTATCCCCCTAAATGTCTAATTTCGTACACCCTTCTCCAGCTACCAAAAATAATTTCAAGAGATTAACATTTTGAGATTTTTAAAAGCTTTATTTTTATTTCTTCTCTGTATGTGCACACACAGTTTTTGATAGAACAAGTTGATTTTTCATTAAGGAACAATATAACTAATACATTTACAACAACATTTATAATTCTTAGCTCAAAAAATGAACATGTCACAATTCAAGTGGTAAAGTGTTAGAGTGTTAATAAAACTTAAAATGTTCCTCTTCAATAGTAAGGTGAAATATCCCTTAGTTCCTTCTGTTTACATACACATGTTGTCTTATACATTTACATGTTGTATGGAATCTCAACTAAATTTATTATATTTCCTTAAGTCTAGATTTTTCTAGTAGATCATTATGTAAACCTAGAGACATAACAGTTTTTTGACTTCTATCTTTTTAGTTGTGTTTTATTGAAACTCTGAAATCCTTTTGGAATAATCAAATGTATAAATCAATGTTATATAGGAAAATATGGTCAGTAGGACCAGACTTCAGTTTTGAAAGTACTTTGATATACATGACCTTATTTAATGCTTACAGCAATTATATTTTGTGGCTACAACTAGATGTGTTTATTTTACAGAAGAGATAAGAGAATCAAGTAATGATTTAGTAACAGAACTTGGACTATAGCCCAAATATTTTCAAGTGTAGTTTTGTTTTTTGTTTTTTGGTTGTTTTTTTTTTTTTTTCCTTTTCCAAGTATAGTTTTTTTTCTTCCTTCCTCCCACATTGAATTCATGGCTGTAACCAAAAAGAAAGTAATATGTTAAACATAATAGAATTTGCATATTAGCTCTATATGTGAAATTGTAGATTAATTTTGTTAACCTTCTGATTCTCTCAAGTAATCTTACAGAATTAGATTAATTCTTATATAATCCAATATTTCCCCTTGTCTGAGATTTACTAAAGTGGATGGATTATAAATGCCAATGTCTTAATGTCCACAAGTATTATTTTGCTAAACTAATCATTTGAGCAGTAAATAATCAACTTTACATGTACTTATTGATGACTTAGTAGTTTTCCAGAGCTTTACAGGCAGTTGATCCCAAACTAATTCCCTTCTAATGGACAGTACTGTATTTAAGTCGGATCTGTTGATCTCATATTTTTTACTTGTCTCTTAATTCAGTTAAAACCCTTATGTGATTTTATATGTAATACTGTGATTTTTTTTTTTCCTCCTCCTCTTTCTGGAAAACCTGACCCTTAGCAGGGAGATTGTGAATGAACTAAATTTCTTTATGTTAGTATCTGTGTCTTCCAAGAAAAAGATAGCTTCTCTTTCTATTAACTTTTTCCATGTACTGTAGCATACAGGTGATTTCAGTTTTTATCAGGGATTGAAGCCAGGGGTATTGAACCACTGAGCTACATCCCCAGCCCTTTTTATTTTTGATTTTGAGACAGGGTTTCAATAAGTTGCTTGGTGCCTTGCTAAGTTGATGAGGCTAGCCTTAAACTTGTGATCCTCCAGCCTCAGCCTCTGCCTCCTAAGTTGATGGGATTACAGGTGTGCACCATCATACTGGTTGTTTTTGTTTCTAAATAATGATCTTGAGTTCTAGTTTTAAGCTCCACAAGAGGTTTCTTGTGCTGAGTTCCATCTATTTTTCAGTTGTTTCATTGAGTGGGCTTTTGTTTGTTTGAGATGGTTCTGTGTTGCCAAAGATGATCTTGAACTCTTAAGCTCAAGTGATCCTTCTGCCTGAGTTTTCCAAGTAGCTGGAACTACAGATGTGTGCACCACACCTGGATAATTGAGTAGACTTTTGATGTATTTTATGAGTTGCTAGAAGAGATAAATGGAATGCACTGATGAGCTGCTTTATTGATTACTTTTTTTTTTAAAGAGAGAGAGAGAGATTTTTTTTTTTTTTTTAATATTTATTTTTTAGTTTTCGGCAGACACAACATCTTTGTTTGTATGTGGCACTGAGGATCGAACCCGGGCCGCTCGCATGCCAGACGAGCGCACTACCGCTTGAGCCACATCCCCAGCCCTATTGATTACATTTTAAAATAACCATTTATTGGGTGCCTATTACAGGCCCACCACTGTGCTGAGAGCATAAAGTCTAGATTTTTAAAGGTAGAGAAGAAAAATCACATTTCCTACCCTCAAGTAATTTATTTAGTTTTTGCCCAACAAATATTAAACAATATATTTTATGGTTAACACTAGAATAAAGTAAAGTGTGGATCATAGGCAGAATATCCTTGTAACCAAATAATTCCAAAAGGAATTTGATATTTTCTTACTGTTTCTAAAAAATCATTAACAGCATTATATTATAAATTGTAATGCAGTTCATAGAGTAGTAGAAAACTACTTGGGGATACCAAGATTCATTGTGATAATTTCTCCTAGATGATGCCTTACAAATTATTCTACATTGAATTTAGAGTGTCTTAAAGGTCTTACATGGTATTAATTAAACTTGTAACAATAAAATCCATTGGGTTTTAGTTGCCATTACCCAGGGAGGAGCAATACAGCTGGCTAACAATGGTACCGATGGGGTACAGGGTCTGCAAACATTAACCATGACCAATGCAGCTGCCACTCAGCCGGGTACTACCATTCTACAGTATGCACAGACCACTGATGGACAACAGATCTTAGTGCCCAGCAACCAAGTTGTTGTTCAAGGTAAGGGAATTCAGAATTCACAGGTGTGATAAATTCTTTAAAAGATTAAAATTTTATAAACTCAGAAAAAGTAAGTATCGTATTATAAAGCACAACTAAAATGTAGTCAATTTTTCTTTGATATAGATAATATTTTCCATGAACTCTTCCATTATCCCAAAATTGGACCAAAATGTCATGGCATAAAAACAACTATTTTTAGTATTTAAAAATATAGTGTCTATCTGTAACACCTTTACTGTTTGGGAACAGGAGAAACAGGGTAGGTTAGAACAAAAAAATGAAATCAGAAGTCAGGAAAGATGGATTTTTAGATGTAATTCTGAATGGATCTGCTTTGTGACTGAGCAGGATCCAATTATTCTGGGCCTTTTTGTTTGTTTTTCATTTATTAAATGAAATTGCGCTAAATCAAATAAGAATTTTGGAGGTCCACAATTCTGTTTCTCTTGTTTTTATTCAAAAGAAACTTAGGTCTTCTTTTCTGAAATTATTATATTTTGTATAGGAACATTATATTCCAAAAGACCACACACGAGTATGCAAGTCCACCGGTCTTGGAAGGAAAAGTAATAGTTAAACCCTTGAGGAATTATAAAGTAGATTTTTTTATTTTATTTTAATTTTTTTTGTTACATTTATTTCAGAAATATATGGATAGGAATTGACTATTTTTTGTTGAATCTGTTTGAATATTTCAACAATATAATTTATGCCAGATTGGAAATTTGTAGATTGAGGAAATAATAATTTGTTTCTAAAAATATTTTCATTAATAATAATGCATTTTGCCTATGTTAGGTAGTGGCAGTTGTATCCCTTTGCCATGGATAATTACCTTTGGATAATCCTAAAACACCAACTAGAGAATCATAATTTATTTAAAGGGCCCTAGTGTAATTACAGAATATATTCTGTTTTTAAACAAATAATATTTGAAAAAGATATTTTGCTTATTAATGGGAATAAAACACCTTTTCACTTTACATGCAGGTACTCAAAAAATGTAAAGCAGGATGTCAGTGAATTTGAATTCTGAACGTCAGTTTGAAGATGGTAACATGTTTAGTATATAAATCTTTTCCACTCAAACTACACATTTTAATTGATATTGATATCTAATATGAATAATTTTATATAAAGACCTTCAAATTCTCTCAAATGTTAGGTTCCTTATTCTTAGGAGAGCATATTAAGCTGATATTAGAAGAAATTTGACAAACAGTGATTGTTTCTTTTCACAAATGGTGGATTGTTTAGTTAGGAAATTAAAACTTAAGAGTTTATCTAGCCATTATCATTTATATTAAAACAATGTTTACAAATAAAATTGGCATCAATTAGTACACTTTTTCATACTTTCAGTTTTGTTTGAATTAGAAGTTTACAATAGTTGACCATAATGCTTTATTTTCTCTTCCATTTTGCTATTTTATGAAAAATCATGGTCGTTTTTATGTCGTGGCAAGAGTCTACTTGAAATTTTTTAATATGAATTTACCAATATCAAAGGAAGACATTGAGGACTATACTCTATCTAGGAAGATCATCCAAGCTGTGCCCTACTTCCCTTTTAGACTTAAGGTTGGTAAGCATGTTAACAGAATAGAACTACATTCCAATGAAAGATAAATATAAGACCCAGCAGACATAGGTTTAGATGTATTTCACCTGAGTGTCTATACTAATAAGTACATTAAACTGGGGTTTATTTCTCAGTAATGACCCAAAGAGTGCTGATTTTTTTTTCAACATTTTAGCCAGAATCATCTGTTCCTTATTGTTTCTTTTCTAATTCAAAAAGTATGTTTAGACTGATGATTAACACACACAGCTGAATCAAGTCACTTCATTTCTGTGCCTTACACCTTGCTCACCATTCTTTTCAGCTGCCTCAGGAGATGTACAAACATATCAGATTCGCACAGCACCTACTAGCACCATTGCCCCTGGAGTTGTTATGGCATCCTCCCCAGCACTTCCTACACAGCCTGCTGAAGAAGCAGCACGAAAGAGAGAGGTTCGTCTAATGAAGAACAGGTACATATAATCCATTTACTTAGATTGTTATGGGTTGAGTATGTCCACAAATTCTGCCAAATGTGTTTTACAACTGATAACAGGATCTTTGCCTTGAATTCCACCACCACCATCCCCCAGAATTGATGGATCTTACTAAAACTTCTTTATTTAATAAGTTGCATGTGAAATGACTAATGAGATTATGGGTCAGTCTTTAATAATAAAGTAGTTTTCTTTCATGCAGTTTCCTCACAGGAGATTTAATATGCAGCTTTGCTATGTTTGTATTTTGCTCCAACCAACTAGCTAGATTATTTACAAATTTTTTCATGAGTAGTATTGTTCATGTTCAAGAGCATCAGATATGTGTATTAACATTAAATGTTAAATTTTATTAAATTTATGTATAATAAAGTAAATGTATCAATGGCCAATATTTTCTTTACTCAAAATAGTAACTTAATACCATGTTACTGACAGAAACCTTGAAATAGTTATAATTCTTGAATGAGGAAAATTCTACTTATCAAAATCTGTGACATGTAGACAAAGCCATTTTTAAATGGTTTTGACATCAAAATAAAAGTACCCTATTTTTGTATTGGGGATTGAATGCAGGGGCCTTCTGCCTCTAAGCTACATCCCCAGTCTGATATTTATTTATTTGTTTGTTTGTTTATTTAGAAACAGGGTCTCCCTAAGGTGCCCAGGCTGGCTTATTTACTTACTTACTTACTTACTTATTTATTTAGAGGCAGGGTCTCCCTAAGGTGCCCACTCTGGGTGCTCACCCTTGCAATTCTGCCTTACCCTCCCTGTTTGTTGAGATTACAGGCTTGTTCCCACATGCCTCGTATAGTTTTAAGATTTTAATATGAAAATGACTAAGACAAACAGAAAAAAATGAAAATAAAGATGTATGAAGTTATAAAATGTTTTAAATTGGTGACAATATTCTACTTTTTACCCCAGGATTATTCAAATTCATGATAAAGTCAAAGAAACAGATTGAATTTGGAAGATAAAGCTTGGTGTCTTGCTCCACCCTTGCTACGACTTTCAGAGAACCTATTAATCTTCTGAACCTCAGTTTTCTCCTTTGTAAAATAGGATTCCACAATCTACTTAAAGTGTTGTTCTAAGGGTCAAGTTAGATTATTTCTCTGAAAGTACTTTGTAACCACAGTGGTCTGAAACATAAATGTTTTTTTTTTTTTCCTTGAGCAATTTAATATTTCAGCAGATCAGTCTCTTTGTTTCTAAAATATTTTTAGCTGTCACTGTATTAATAAATTATTATCTAAGCTATGAGCAATGGCAGAAGCATTCTGGGATTAGGGGAAAAGATGCAAAGGAGTGGAGTGACTTTGTTTTATTTGTTCTCTATCAACCAGTGATTTTCTTTTTAAGTATTTAAATTATAATTTTAAACAAAAGTATAAAAGCTGCATTCTTATTTAAATGTATTTTAAAATATAAATTAAACTATGCATTATTTAAATATTCTCAGTTTTAAAGTACTCATAAGGGTGCTTAACCCTTTTTAAAATTAGAAACAATTCTCTTTTAAGAAGTCTCCAGCAAAAGCTTGGTAATAAAATTTAAAAAACAGCACTTACTAAAGAAAATAGTTTAAAGCACACATAGCAGAGCAATCAGAAAATAAGTCCTTTTGATTATTAAAAACAGCAGAAGAGGGGCCAGGATTGTGGCTCAGTGGGCAGAGCCCTTGCCTAGCATTCATGAGGCATTGAGTTCGATCCCTGGCACCACATGAAAATAAAGGTATTGTGTCCATCTACAACTAAAAAAAAAAAAAAAAGGCAGAAGAACTTTCAGATTATATCTATGTAGTTTGCCTCTGTGGGACAAAAAATGTTTCCCCCTAGTGGGTGTGGTGGCTTATGCCTGTAATCCCAGCAGCTCAGGAGACTGGAAAAGAAGGATCGTGAGTTCAAAGCCAGCCTCAGCAAAAGCGAGGCGCTAAGCAACTCAGTGAGACCCTATCTCTAAATAAAATACAAAATAGGGTTGGGGATGTGACTCAGTGGTTGAGTGCCCCTGAGTTCAATCCCTGGTACCAAAATAATAATAATAATGATGATGATGATGATGATGTTTCCCTCTTATACAGAAAAGACTACAGAGGCAATATAATTGTAGTCATGATTTGGACTTACTTTTAATCCTTTCCAACAGTTGGATAAACTCTAGTGTCCTTTTGAAGGAACAAAATAGGAAAAATTTTTTCTATAGTATGTAAGAAGGCAGCAGTATTGGTTCTTATCTACTGTTATGTAGAGGCCAACCTAGAGCACTGCCCATTTGTGAAAACTTGTTCTTTTAGCAGACCAAATTTCTTTTTTTCCTTCAGATTTGTAGCCCTCTCTACGATCCCCATCCCCCCCTACAACACATTCCAAGTTATGGAGAGGGCTTCAGTTCTTTACAAGCTTTATTTAAATGAGATCTATAGGGAAACCACCTGATCATGTACTCTGGTAAAATACTTTTGTTTGAATTTAGATATAGTGCCATAGTTTCATTTTTCCTTCATTATCAGATGACTGCTTTTTGAGCTTTCAGTCAAATCTGGCTTCTGTGACCATCATACCATGCAAACTCACAAACCAGGTACATACCCACATTCCAAAACACACACTTGGCAGATCCAGTAGTCTCTTTTTTGTTTGATTTCACCTCTGTGAAGTATGTACCACTTTTGACTGCTCATTCACCCAAAATACTTCTTTGGTTTATTCACCACCTGGTTTTCTGACTACTTTTCAAATTTCTCCTTGGAACTTTCATCCATAGTCATGTATTTCAGGTACCAATATATGCAGGTATCAATAATTCTATATATTCTGATATTGACCTTTCCTCTGAGGTACTGTTTATTAAGTTCCATATTATGTATGGGCAGTTCTAGATTTTTTATATACATTATTAATTCTTCTACAGTGAGGTGGAATTTTATTTCCACAGATACCAGAGAGAAGTTAAATGTTGCCAAACATCACAGTTTTTAAGAAACTGGTAGAATTGAGATTTGATCATGTGTCTGCTGCCAAAGCCTGTTAACATGCTACTTCACTGCTATGATGCTCTTACTAGAGCACACGGCAGTGGGGTGGATATGTAACAAGGAAGTGAAACATGGAATGCTTTTCTTGGGTGTTCATTTTGCTCAAAGATTAGAGACAAATAAAAATTATTTTTAAGGTAATAATAAAAGATTCACACTACAGTAGTTGCTTTGGGTTGTGACCCCAGAATCCCCATAAATTTCCTTGCTTATAGTGAGTACTCTTGACATATTCACCAGAAATAATGTCTCCTATATACATCAAACATAACCTGTATTAAACTAAACTTGGACAGAAAAAGTTTGGACTCAGAAATTCTACAGTCTCCAAATAGCCATTTATTCCAAAATGAAAATAAGTGGTAAGCATTGTGAAAGAGGAAATATAAATGGTTGTTGTATTTATTTGTGTTGCTACAGTAACAATCACAAAATCTCAGTGTCTTAGAACACATATTTCTTCCTCATTTATAAGTTACATTTTGACAGCTGCAAGTCACTTGCCCATGGCTCTTCTTCACATGCTGTCTATTTCGTGAATCCCAGCCCCCAAGGAGCAGCAGCACCTCTGAGAGGAGCCTTTGACAACAGGAAAAGGGCAGTGCTTTTTAAAGCGTCTGCTTGACTATGGTGAACAACATGTCTACTTGTGTTCCATTGGACACAGCACAGACAAGGACAAGCCCAAAGTCAGCAGACTGGATGCTAGCTCTTTCCATAGGAAGCAAGGAGGGGCAAATTACAAAAGTAATATAATTTACCACCTTTGCTTTTATATAACATTAGCATGCACAGGGGGTTTTAATAGCAGACTTTTAAGGACAAAAATAATAAAGAAAAGGTTAAATAGATTTATATAAAATAGCAAAGCAAACAAACTGAAAATATTTTAACAGTGTCAGAAGACTAATGAAGATATGAAGGCATATTCACAAATGATAGGATAAACAACGTATATTTGATATGAATTAAGGTACTTTCATTCAACTACATATAGCTGTTCATTAAGAAAGAAAACAGATGTATTTTTTTGCTGAGATAGGAAGATATTCTTCATGGACAGAAGCAGATTACTAAAGAGTATATATGTTCTCATTTTTTAAAATGTATTACACAGGTAAAACATGCTCATTATAAGTAAGAAAAGTATAAACTAAAAATATCAACTCTAATTGAACCATCCAAATTATTATATAGAGTATATTTTTCCTCAATACAAATAAAAACATATATTCATTTTTAAAATATTATTTTTTAGTTGTAATTGGACACAGTTCCTTTATTTTTACTTATTTTCATATAGTGCTGAGGATTGAACCCAGTGCCACTCAATGTGCTAGGCAAGCACTCTACCACTGAGCTACCACCCCAGCACTATATGTACATTTTTAATAGATCAGTTTTAACCTTTTATTTTCAAATAACTTTAGACTTAGACGTGGTAAAGATGTTTCCGATACCTTTTATTCAGCTTCCTGTATTCCTAGTATATTATATAAGCAGAATAACAGTTATCAAAACTAAGAAATACATTGGTATAAAACTATTAAGTGAATTATACATTTTATTCAGACTTATGCATTTTTTAATACCTATATTCCTTTTCTTTTGTAGAATCCAATCCAGATACCACATTGCACTTAATTGTCACATCTCTTAGTTTCTGTTTCCTTGTGTTTCATAGCCTTTTGTATCTGACACTTTTGAAGGGTAGGGATCTGACTTCTTATAGAATATCCCTCATTTGGGGTTTATCTGATGTTTTCTTATGGTTAGATAGAGGTCATCAATTTGGGGGAAAAAATCCTGCAGTGATTTATTGTGCCCCTCTTGCTACATCATATCAGGAAACATATACCAGTAGACTTATTACTGGTAATATTAACTTTGATCAGTTGGTTGAAGTACTAATTTGTCTCCACTGTAGAAT